ACCACTCCGCGACGGATCATCGTTCAGTTTTTATCCCGCACTTGCCGAGATGCAATTTGGGCGGAAGCAAAACGTTCTGAGCTGTTGAAACAGAAGAAAATTCGGATCTTGGAAGATCTTACGCAGGAAGACAAAGAAGCGAGAAACAAACTTTGGCCACTCGTTGAAAAGGCAAGAAGGGAAGGAAAGAAAGCTGGGTTTAACGGGCCCGTTGCCTTCATTAACGGGAAGAGAATTTCTGTTTAGGCCTACGATATTTAATATGCCCCTTATTTTGTATTTTGCGAAATGGGAAGGTGAAGTGTTTTTTGTTTTTTGTTTTTTTGGGTCCATAACGGAGTGTGTTGACTTTCCTAATTGATTTGGGAGTTCGAGCCTTATAAGCTCCGCATATCTTCTAAGAAGCATATTTAGTTTCTTCTGTACTTGTTCTGACAGTCGTATTAGGCTACTCAAAAGAGTTTGAGTTCTAATTTTATGTTTAGTTCACATTTCTCATGTTTCTCTTTGAATGTTCGGGGGCTACGTGACTTAAACAAGCGAAAAGCTTTATTCTTGTTTTGTAAATCTGTTAAAAGGGACATATATTTTTTGCAAGAGACGCATTCTTGTGTAAACGATGAAAAATTCTGGCGTAATCAGTGGGGGAGCTCTATTTCTTTCTGTCATAACTCAAGTTCATCAGGTGGGGTCGCTATATTGCTTAATAGTGGATTTCAAGGAAAGGTTATAGAAACGCTTTCTTCAGGGATTGGAAGGTGGGTTATCTCAGTTGTTCACTTGGACAGCAATTTTTTTATAATGATTAACATATATGGGTTCAATAGTTCTGCTAACAACAAAACTTTACTTGATAATATAGTCATTCATATAAATAATTTAAAACTTAAATATCCCTCTGCTTTTGTTTTATTTGGTGGCGATTTCAACGAGGCACCAGACTTAGTTGCTGATAGATTCCCACCAAGACATGTATCTAATAGCGTCAACCCCCTGATTGCAAATCTCTGTCAATGTCTGAACCTGATCGATGCACATAGATATTTACACCCCGATACACACATGTATACTTGGTTTAAGTCAGATTTTTCTCAAAAATCACGTATAGACCTGTGGCTGATGTCAGACTCTTTAATTTCTTTTTGGTATCAGCAGAAATTTCACCCTCACCTTTAACTGATCATGCAGTGATTGACATAACGTTATCGGATGATAAATCCAAGCGAAGAAGAAAAATGAACCCTGGGTACTGGAAGTTAAATTGCTCCTTTTTACTCTCTGAATCATATTGTCAAGAGATTGAGAAAATCGCAGAGAGTGTTAAATCTCAGGCTAATACCTCGGCTATTTCGAAATGGGAGCTATTTAAATATGAATGTAGGAGATTTTCGGTTAAATTTGGAAAAAATAGAATGTCTGTTAAAAATAAGGAAATTGCAAACTTAATTAAAAAAATAAATGAAATTTTACAGAACCCTAACCTGAGTGAGAAGGATAAGGAATCTCTTTATACTTCACAAGCCTGTCTGGATGATCTCTTTCTAGAAAAAGCAAAGGGTGCTTTTATTAGATCGAGGTCAAAATGGCTTGAGTTTGGAGAAAAAAATTCTGCCTACTTCTTCAACCTTGAGAAGAAACGCGGCAGTAATAAAAAAATCTCTTCTCTGTATATTAATAATACGTTATCTAATGATTCCTCTGTGATTTCTTCCCATGTTTCTAAATTTTATCAAAATTTGTATACCTCCTCTTTTGACCCCAACGCTTCATCTTTGTTTTTTCAAAAGATTCAATCTGTTATTCCTAAAATTAATGACCAAAACAGGAAAAAATGTGAGGATCCTTTTAATATAGATGATCTTTATAATATAGTCAAAAGAATGCCTAATAATAAATCCCCGGGCCAGATGGCTTACCCTTTGAATTTTTTAAAGTCTTTTGGGACTCTATAAAAATCTTCTTTACGATGCCCTTATTGAGTGTTCAATGAAAGGTGAATTGGCAGATTCTATGAAACAAGGTCTCATCTCTCTTATACCCAAACCTAATAAGGATAACAAATTTTTAGATAATTGGCGCCCGATCACCCTTTTGAACTCTGATTATAAGTTATTGGCTTCTGTATATGCTGAAAAGCTTAAGCCTTGTTTGGGAGACATAATTTCTGACTCTCAATCTGGTTTTCTAAAAGGTAGACATATCTCTAATAATATTAGATTAATTTTAGATATTCTTGATTATTCTGATTTTATAAACAAAGAGGCTTTAATTTTGTTTATCGACTTCTATAAAGCTTTCGATACAGTTGAGCACTCTTTTATTTTTGAAGCCCTTTCTAAGTTTGGTTTTGGTAGTTATTTTATTAATATGATTCGTACTCTTTATAATGGTATTAACAGTTGTGTCTCCTTAGCTTCCGGCACTTCTCCACGATTTTCAGTGGGTCGAGGTATTTGCCAGGGATGTCCCATATCTCCTTTTCTATTTCTATTGGCTGCTGAGCTTCTAAGTTTGTATATAAAACACTCAAATATTGAGGGTATAAATATTGGAGAGAACACTTTAATAATTAGTCAGTTAGCTGATGATACTTGTCTCTTTCTTAAAAATGATTCACAAGTCTCTGGCGCCCTATAAGCATTTTTAATCTTTTCTCCAAAGCTTCTGGATTGGTGGTAAATCCTACGAAAAGTGAAATTTTATATGTGCATGATTCAGATAAAGTTTCTGTTGATGGTATTAAAGTTAAACAGCAGGTAAAATACCTCGGGGTCGATATTTGCAAATCAGGTTCAGAACGTCTTCACAACAATTTTCAACCAAGGATAGATAAAACCAAAAAAATACTATGTTGCTGGCTGCAGAGAGACTTGACAATTTATGGGAGAGTCCTGCTGTCTAAGGCTGAGGGCATATCTCGCCTAGTTTACCCTGCTCTTTCCCTATATGTTGATAAAAAAACGATTAAATCTATTGATTCTCTGCTATTCCGTTTCATTTGGAAAAATAAAACAGAATGCATTCAAAGAAAATCTTTGATAAGAAGTTACAAGGAGGGTGGTCTTAACGCTTTAGATTTTCAAACTATTAACCAGACATTCAAACTTAACTGGATTAAGTATTGTATTTCTAACAATGATTTACCCTGGTTTTGGATCCCTAATTTAATCTTTAAAAAATGTGGTGACCTTAAATTCTTATTATCTTGTAATTTTAAGTGTAGCAAATTACCTATTAAACTCTCAAATTTTCATAAACAAGCTCTTGAATCCTGGAAGATTGCTTTCAAACATAACTTCTCCCCGCACACGTATATTATTTGGAATAATGAAAATGTACTGTGTGGTAACAAGTCTCTTTTTTTCAAAGAATGGGTGGATCAAAATATTATTTTTGTTTCCGATTTGTTTAGTGCTCAAGGAGACCTTCTTTCCATTTATGATTTTATGTCCCTTAAAAGTGTTACGATTTCTGTAAGAGATTTTAATAAGGTGACTAAGAGCATTCCTGTAAGTGTAAGAACCTTGTTTAAAGCGCATTTAAGTTACAACCGTGTAAACAACTTTATTCCAACACTTGCTTTTAATGGTGTTAATATATTAGATAAAAAATGCAACAACTTCTTTATTAGGAATGCTCTTTCTTCATCTTCAAAAACTCTTCCTAAAGCTCGTTCTAAATGGAGTATCTGTTATCCCAACTCTAATTTGAATTACTTATGGGCCTTTTCTCATAAACTTTTTATTCCTAATAAAATAAAAGAACTCCATTTCAAAATTATTCATAGATATTACCCTTGTAATCTATTCTTGAGCAAGTTTTCTGAGAATGTATCTTCTTTATGCTCCTTTTGCAATATTGAAGAAGAATCTATTCTTCATTTATTTTATCAATGCCCATTTTCTAAATCTTTCTGGTCAGATGTTACCTTGTTAGTTTTTTACTGTTGCAAGAAATTGGTACAAATTTCTGATTCTATAATTTTTTTATCAGATTTTTGTTCTAATGATATTAATTTTAATTATACTGTATTTCTGCTGTGTCTTCTGGGCAAGTTTCATCTTCACAAAGCCAGAACCATTCATTGTAAGCCGGATTTTAGAATGTTTTCATCTGATTTAAAGTCCCTTTTTTCTTCATTTAAAAATTTGTCAAAACCATTAAACTCTAAGGTTTCTAGAACACATAATATTTTGGAGTCTGTGGTAAAGAACCTTTAATTTGGTTATTTTTACAAATTGTAATATGTTATTTTGTATAACTTAATGCAATCTATTTTGATGTCTGTAACCCCTCTATTATTGTTTTTGTATTTTTTTTTCTTTCTGTTTGCTGTTATTGTATTTTTTCTTTAATTTGCAATAAAAAAAAAATAAATAAAAAAAAATGCGGCATCGGCATCTCGAAGCGGCACTTCCGGCGGCATCTCCAGCGTTGACATCATGAATGTTGTTTCACTGTTGATGTCGCGACTCGCGACGTTGTTTCATGGTCTCTCCTTTCAATATGGGTGAGTAACTTACAGGTTGTATGTCGAAGTTAAACCAACATTTAATTATGCTTCGGTTTTGCAAATTGAATCAACGTTGCTATCGTGATATTGTTTCAGTCTTACCTTTCAACATGGGAGAATACAATTATACATTAAATTACAACGTAGTTTGAATACACGATCATAACAATGCTAACTGATTTAGTAATTAACTGTACATACTGTAGCCTACACTAAAACATTGTTTAATGTCAAATGACTGACAGCAATGGCTTAGTTACAAACACATTTAATAAAGAGTTAGCACATGCTCAAGATTGTAAAACAAGTTTTATTTTGGAAAACAAAACAAAAAAGTCTAAAAATACTTTCTATATCTGAAAACTTTAACTTGCAGTGTTTTCAAAGTAATGTTAAAGTAAAGTACAAATCTCAATGGAATACTTAAAAGAGTTTTTGTTCAATTACAGTAAAACTTAGATGAAATACATTTAATATTTAAAGTGTACAGTAACAGTAGAAAAACTTAGCATCTCAATAAAATGCGACAGCCTTTTGCATTGCTCTAGTAGAGTCCCAGCTTGAGGTCTGCTCCGATGCCATCGCTTCCTCTTGCTCCCTCTTCACTTCTTGTCTGCTCTCTGTACGATCCTGTAGCCCATAAATAAAAGCAAAAACAGTTAAAACTGAATACAAAATTATTTACAAGATTTTCACTTACACTGTTCAATAACAGTCGAGTTGAAAAAGTATACAACACTATCCAAGGCATGTTATGTATTCAGATGTAAATGTACAATATCAACCATAATTAACAAGCAGTTCTTCAGAGCCCCAAGGTGGAATTGCTTAATATTAAAGGTCACTTTGAAATTAATTTTGATATGTTTTATCTTACCTCAAGGGCATCCAAGATGTAGGTGTCTTTGTTTCCACAGTATTTTCAATTTTGACATTTTTAGGTCAAACCGTTCTTGTCTGTCAGTCATATAATGGAGGTCTATGGTCACCACCTCAAAGAGCAGCACAGAGAAGTCCAGATTAAACATGATTTAATGACTCGTAAATGTAAGTACACACGAAACGAGCGGTTTGTGTGAGAAACCAACAGTATTTAGGCCTATATCGTTTTTACCTCTTGTAACCACAGCCAAGTCCAAGTGATCTGAAGGCATAATCGGTCTGCGCAAGCGCCGGAAGTGATTCATTGTTTACACAGAGATTTCGGAAGTTTTAACTGTCACTGGGATCTAAACATATTTAGATATATAGGAAAACGCAATAAAACTTCCGAATCTCTGTGTAAACAATGAGTGTCGTAGACGCGCAAGAGATCACTCCCGGCGCATGCGCAGACCGAAGCGCCCGTGCCTTCAGATCAGTTGGACGTGGCTGTGGTTACAAGAGGTAAAAACGAAATAAATACAGTTCGTTTTCTCACACAAACCGCTCGTTTCGTGTCTTAGGCCATCAATGTGTACTTACATTTACGAGTCATTAAATCATGTTTAATTTGGACTTCTCTGTGCATGCTCTTTGAGGTGGTGACCATAGACCTCCATTATATGACTGACAGACAAGAACGGTTTGACCTAAAAATGTCAAAATTGAAAATACTCTGGAAACAAAGACACCATCTTGGATGCCCTTGAGGTAAGATAAAACATATCAAAAATTAATTTCAAAGTGAACTATCCCTTTGAACCGTGATTAATTTTTCAGGATTCGTTGAAAGTTCAAGACAAAAGCAATTAATTAAAATATATATATGAAGAGTTCAGATGCAAAAGCCTCTAAATGCCATTTGAAATTTTCTTCTTTAATGATGATTTTTATCAAACTTGTATATTTAAGTTCAGTAATTTCACTTAAATGGCAAATTGTATTTAAGTGAAATCACTGAACTTAAATATACAAGCTTGATAAAAATCATCATTAAAGAAGAAAATTTCAAATGGCATTTAGAGGCTTTTGCATCTGAACTCTTCATATATATATATTGCATTACTATAAATGTCTTTACTGTCACTTTTGATCAATTTAATGTGTCCTTTCTGAAGAAAAGTATTTCTATTTTATATATATAAACAAAAATCATATTGACCCCAAACTTTTGAACGGTAGTGTACATTTTTATTAAATTGAGTAAAATCAAATCATAAAAGGTCAATGAATGCATACCAGAAGTGATAGCAGCTAAAGAAAAATCCTCCAACAAATTGCCAGTAATCATATGGATCCTTGGTGAGTCTGGAAGGGGAAACAAGAAATGATTCAATGAGAAGCTCTAAAAAAGCCCCAAAAAAGCAGGATTTTTTTTTTCATTCCATAAACAATCTTAAAATGTATTTAATACTACAAACGTTTGCCATTATAACACATTCACACAACATGAACAGAGTACTGTCATCTTTGAGACTGTTAGTTATTACATGATTAAAATGTAAACGCATATTTAAAGCATGGCAATCCCATCAGAAAAATGTGTATCATAGAAAGGGTGTCACAGTCCTCCGTCTGCACCAGTCTGTCTTGTCTTCAGCACTACACTTCCCAGGATCCTCTCGTCACCCTATCCCGTGTTCACTCCCTCATCAGCCACCTGTTCCTCGTCATCATCATCTGTTTCACCTGTTCTCACCCCATTATGTTTGATTAGTCTGTGTATTTAGTTCCCTTTGTGTTACTCTATGATTGTCGGTCGATGTTGAATGTTACCTCTGTGAAACCCCGTCCTCCTGCCTGTATGTGGAAAATAAATACGTTTCTTTGGTTATCTGGATTCCTCCCGCTCCTTCCGTCTGCACTCCTGTTCTCCTGCACCATACCCCGTGACAAAGGGAAGCACACAAAAAAGCCAACTGGTACATCAAAATTAAGCCATAATATAATGTTACCTGCAGCCTTTATCCTGTTATGACATGTCTGAGGGTCTTTCCCTTAATGTTTTCCAGTGAATTAAAGACAGGACTGATGAAGTATATGGACAAACTAACTTACATTTCTTATATATAAGTAATATAAGTTAAGTTTCTCTGCTTTTCTTTTAACATTTGATGCGTATTGTTTGTCATAACTAACCAGCGCACAGAAAGCATGTAGCTTGAATAGGATCAAATCAATGTTCATTCCTCTAATGGCAGATCTGGTTATTACATAGTGATGATTGAACCATCCTCTATATGACTGTACAGTGATCATACATCCTTTCTGATCTAATAACCAGTATTGTCAATTATCAAATATCCACAGATTTACACACACATAAACACACATGTTCACACACACACACTGTAAAAATAGATAACAGTGATAATTTTTATCTCCCGACAAGAGTCTCATGTTAACGCAGCATGTTAACGCCGATAACGGCCCACTCCTGATATCTATAATCTATGTTCACAGTTGAGTTGGGAGCTGACTATACCACGCAAGCTATGATGACTTTCACTTTGATATTTTAGCGCAGATGTTGTCGATTTGCACTAGGGCCATTTAAAACCAATATATTGATACGTCTGTTTATCCAGTCATTAGGAAAATATCAGTCTATGCATTTAATATTTAATATGAGGGAAATACACATCCGTAAAAGGGGTCGCACACCGAACGAGAAGAAGCGCCACGTCTGTTTACACCTGACCACTTCATGCGTTTTCTCAGATCGGATAGCTATCTGATTTATCAAAACGATTCAATTCACACCTGGTCACATACATGTGTTTTTGCAAAACGGATAAAAATCCGATCTTCAATTCCCCCGCGCTATATGCGGATTTAATGAAGTGCACGTCACCGAAAACAACAGATATGAGCTGCATTTTATTGATCATCGGCTAATTTCAAAATCAGCAAAGACAGCAATAAGAGAGAGCGGCAACCTGGTAAGATCATTTAGTTTCTTTACTTTTAATGAAGATGGTAGTGTTAAGTGTTTGCGACTTACTTTCACTTTGATTTGCCATAGATTGCGGCGCGTTGGCTTGATAGGCGCTCAGCTGCTCATCTGAGGTGATGCGTGTCGCAGTAGCGCCGTCATATCTGACTAAAATAACATGACATATGGCCTGTAACACGCTCTCACACGTTTATTTTTTAGCATTTTTGGGAGTAGTAACATTTACATATGTGGTTTCAACAACCAGATGCATTTACACAGTTTGGTCTGAAATGTGGCCCAGACTACCTTCTGATGTGGTTTGAGTGATCGGAGTTTCGGAGGGCATTTACACCTGGTCTTTTCGAGATCGGATACAGAAAAAGTATGAAGTGATTTCAGAGCATCCGTTAACTGAATTAATTGAGAATCTCACCTGAAAATCCAATAACATCAGCAATTGTCATTCAAGCAGCTGATTTCTGTATTATGCATTATGCATTCATCAGATATTTCATCCCTCTCTATTTATTTGTATTGTAAGAAAAAGAGCTTCCCGGACACTACAAAATAATTCATTTCGTGTTACATAGAAGAAAAGTAGATCAAATGGGTTTAGAATTACACAAGAAAACCTTATGAAAAAAAACCAACAACAACAACAAAAACTGATTTAGTTATTATTTCGTGCTGTTTAAAACTGGGGTTGACAATAGAATAAAATAATTATGATTACTCTCATTATTTATAATAATATGAACATTCCAGTGTTAAATCTTGTATAAAACATATTTAGGCCTAATTACAAACTACCTGCGAGGTTATTTATTTGGGTATAGCACACGCCTGAATTCAAATGAGCCATTTTAATCTAGATTAATCTAGATTCATTTCAAAATTAATCTAGATAAAAAAAATAATCTATTCCCACCTCTAATATACTGTATATATATATATATATACACAGCAAAATCCCCAGTGTTAATTCAACACTGCTCAGAGTGTATTTGGTCCCACTCTACAGAGTGTTAAAGTAACACTGAAGCAGTGTTAAAGTTAACGAGATAATTAAGTGACTAATTGGGTGATGATTGAGTATTAGTGATAAACACCTGCCCTGCTGTTAACGAGCAGAATCACTGAAGGAAAGAGAAACACAAGAACTACAACTGACCTCCAGTCACAGCCTTAGGTTAAATCTATTGAAGATACAAAGAAGACATTAAATCTGTGAAGTTCTCAGCAGAGGAGGATTAAACGACTCCACAAACAGCATTACCAGCTTCACTTATTACTAACCAGAATGACTTTATTTCTGTCAGACTTCTACAGAAGATTTTATTGAGAATTAACAGAGGTTTAGATGTTGATGGTTTAGTCACCGTTTAAAAAAATCACCATTATGGTGAACAGTGTTTCCTTTATTCGGGCAATTTGACTCTTGCCTTCTCATGTGATTTTATGGTCTTTGTAACAGTGTTAAACAAAACACATAATTTGTTGCAAAGAAAGCCAAAATCAAAGATGGCCTAGAGATAATGTAATAATTTACAACATAATAAAGGACAAAAAAGCTGCAAAATGTTATAAATAGTTCTAATTCTTTACAACATTTATTTTTGTACATATTAGACATCAAGCTGATTTTTATTTTATTTTTTAATGGAAAAATAATCTTTGGACAAACACACAGACATCAATAATCCACATATGAATCTCATCAATGGTGAAATGCTTTATGCCGCAATGCATTCTGGGAGGCACCATAGTTTAAAACTCTTCACTAGGGCTGGGCGATATATCGCACGATATTGTTATGCGCATCTAATCAGTAAAGCCGGTTCCTTGATTAGTAGTAAATCACCTTCACATGCTTTCAAATTGACGATATGAGTGTTAAATTAAACTGTTATTTAGATAATTAAGTGATTAATTTAGTGATGATTGAGCATTATTGAAGAGACCTGATGATCACAAGCAGAATCGCTGAAGGAGAAAATCACAAATTGTAAGCCACCGTTATGGAGATCAGTGTCTGCTTTAGTTGGGCTCTTGACACTTATATTTTCACTTTAAGTTGTGTTTGCCTGTCGATATTGATTTATAACAGTCATATGTACAAAGGCAACTGTGATCTGATAGTGTTGGTTATGTTTTGACATAATCATGCAATGATATGAAAAATTCAACTTATTCAGATGATTTGGTTAACTTGTTAGCTACAGTTTTGTAGTTCTGCAGCATATCTGTATTTTACTTATAACCTAAAATATTTAATAAAAAATATTCTGATCAAATCACTGTCATCTTTATTCAGTAACACAGAGATCAATAATCAGCCTGTCTATCTCAACCGTGGTGACATGTTGCCACCAATCACAACTCATTATTTTCCCACTTGAATATTCTACTCGTCACCGTTGTTGAGAAGCATTGACTGAATCTTGAGGTCTGTGTGTGCCTAAAAGAAAGATTTTTTTTTAAACAACTTTTGAGAAATCCATTATATTATATTTAACATTCTGGATGTTTATGCGGAATCTCAGTTATGCAGTAACCAACAGAATACATTTTAAATTATGAAAGTCTTTATATAACCAACATCATTTTATAGTTGTTTATTTTTGTTCATCTGACAGGTTTAACTCAGATGCAACAGCAAATTAAAATATAAAATTTTTAATATAAGGGTCAAGAGCCCAACTAAAGTAAACACTCATCTCCATAACGGTGGCTTACAATTTTAGATTTTTTTTGACTGACCAGCTGAGCCATATCGCATTAAATATCGCTGGCGATACATCCTCGATATTAACGCGATTTGGCTCAGCTTGTCAGTGATCTACTATACGGCTCTTTGTAGTAAATGCCGCTCCATCTGAAAGCAGTTGAAGGTGATTTACTACTAATCAAGGAACCGGCTTTACTGATTAGATGCGCATACAATATCGTGCGATATATATTGCCCAGCCCTACTCTTCACCATTGTTGAGTCACCTGTCACCATTGTTGAGATTGATATGCTGATTCATGATGTCTGTTTGTTTAAAAAAAAGAAGTTTAATGATTTTCTGTCAAACTCTCTGCAGTGCATATAAAAAATCAGAATGTTGATGTTCAGTAAGCTGTCAAAAAAGGTGAAATTTATTTGTTAAAAAAAATTACAACCTTTAGTCAGGGATAATATTAGAGAACCATTATTTTTTATTTACTGTTTTATAATGAAAACTATTATTGCTGAACACCTTTGTTTATTGTTTGCTATGTTACAAACAATATGTTTTAGTAAACATTGTTACAAAGACCAAAATTGTGCTTAAAATACTGAGAGTCAAACTGCCCAACTAAAGGAAACACTGATCACAATAATGGTGACCAAATATTTTAAAACATCAACATCTAAACCTCCGTTCATAGACATCTGACAGAAATAAAGTCATTCTGGTTAGTAATAAGTGAAGCTGGTAATGCTGTTTGTGGAGTCGTTTAATCCTCCTCTGCTGAGAACTTCACAGATTTAATGTCTTCTTTGTATCTTCAATTGATTTAACCTAAGGCTGTGACTGGAGGTCAGTTGTAGTTCTTGTGTTTCTCTTTCTTTCAGTGATTCTGCTCGTTAACAGCAGGGCAGGTGTTTATCACTAATACTCAATCATCACCCAATTAGTCACTTAATTATCTCGTTAACTTTAACACTGCTTCAGTGTTACTTTAACACTCTGTAGAGTGGGACCAAATACACTCTGAGCAGTGTTGAATTAACACTGGGGATTTTGCTGTGTATATAGGATGGATGGGAGGATGTTGAAAAATTTCGCTCAACTCAGGATCAGAAGACAGCAGGTGCCGATGTTTTTTAAAAATAGATTATATCGTGTAAGAATTAGGTGAATGGGTCGTAATACAAGTGAAAGAAAACTTTCTTGCCGTTTTTGTCTTCTTTTTTAACAACTCAGACCTGGTCTTTTTGAAGGCTGTGTTAAATGCTTCATCAACCCATTCTGAGGGGTAACCTCTATTCTATTTTTCACAGAATAACAAATCCGGCTCAATCTATAGAACTGACTCCTGCAGACCTTTTTTTTAAAGTCAGATCAAAGCT